TGACTTTAAGTTATTTTTAATGACCAGCGGAAACCCTGCAAGCTGACTGCTCATTCTTTTGCCATGCTAACCACACCGGCTGCGAATCGCTACAACTCAGCTCACCTTGTCTCCAAGCTTTATTAGTTGCATTTTTTGAAAGCCTTTATGGGAGTATGTATCCAGTGCCAAGACCTGATTGTATCTTGTTGTATCTTACTGATAAAACTGTTGCTAGACCACAAGACTGTTTCTGGTCACTGAATACTCACCTCAGATCTCAGCCCTTTTGACCCACTTGCCTGAATCTGCCTCCATGGTTCTTACTCTGCTTCCATTCACTAACCATTGATTCAAGGCTCGTCCTTGGATCTGTTTGCCCGTTTTGTCAATGGCCTTTGACAGAGCCAGTCTTTCTTTCCCCCTCTTTACCCATGGTAAAGGGATTCACATCTCCACCAGAGTAGGTTAAGAATTTTATTTATATCATACAATTAGTCTCAGCCACTTGCCTGTCTCTCCCTTCCCAGTGGTTTATATAGTAGATGGTGAGCTGTGATCAAAGGATTTATTTTTTGATCATTCCCTTAAATGTTCACATTAGTTTCTGACTTAATTCTTAGGTCCTAGGTCACACTACAGGGGAGTGAGTTGGTTGCAGACCCAGATGTTTTTGATTTTGTATTTCACTTAGATTTTTTTCCCTTTTCCCGCTCCAATTATCATCTTTGTTAATTCAAACAGACTTTCTATTAGTTAAAGGTGTTCCTATTTCTCTGGTATCATCATTTCCACCAAGAATTGGATCTATGCTACATACAGGGTCTGAAATGCAGGAAATGACACCTGGTACCCCAGTACCTAGGTGGCTTACTGTTTAGCATTTCATGAAAGGTGAGGAGGCATAAATCAATGAGGTATTGAAGGTAGTGTATCTGTTAAAACCGAAAGGGTTTTTGGTTGAGGAACATATTAGTAAACTGTTAGGAGGTCACTTTATGAGCTGCAGGGTATATAGCTAACGTTATATGTTTACTAGCGGTCGGAGGAATGGGTGCTTCTAGCTAGGAGTTAACATGGGCTAGTACTCTGTGGCCCTGTTATGGCTCCTGTGCTGCTGACACAATAATAAATCAGTTTCTTATGCTGATATACTGTATTGTGTGAATGATATATGGTTATATTGTTGAATTTTACAGTTTTACATTAACAGTGATACACTTTTTATCTTAGACTTAGACAACTATTTCTGTTATTTGTACACATAGAATGTATACAAAATGTATTTTCAGACAGTGAATGAGCAGCAGTTTGGCAGCAAACTGAATTTTGTAATTTCTATTTTATTGAGATGTTGAAAATGCCTTCATATTTTAAATCAAAATACTTCAGTGTTGTGTATTTTTGTATTTTAGAGTATTTTCAAAATACTGTGAACTTATCAGAATTGGTATCGGTCATGAAAAGCAGAAAATTATTGGTTATCAATAGCAGTTGAAATTGTTCATATCATTCATCACTAATGTGGATTATCACTGTGCAGAAACAAAACAGAATTTGGCCTGCTCCAGCTCTAGTTGTAATTACTTATTTTATTACGCCCAAAAGAGTGGCATATTTATTACAGTACCTAAATGACTTAATCAGATTTATCAGCAGAGAAAACTGAAAGGAGAAAAGTCAATGGGACTGCAAATTTGGTCCTGTTTATCCTTAACAAAAATGCTTCTAAAGTCAGTTCTGGTTGTTTAAAAGGAATTCATGTTCATACTTTACAACCCAAGTATGGAATATGTGGCCTAAATCAGTAAATATTTTTGTTGCCTTTATCCTACTGCAATGTACTTTCCTGTTTTTTTTTTTTTTACATGTGCAATGCTTTATATTTCCATGCTGCTGAAATAATACGTATATATTAAACTGCATTAATAAACGTGCCTTGCCTTAAACAATCTATCGTAAATAGTTTGAAGATTAAGCTGTGAGTATATTAAGATTTCAAAATCTCTCACTAATTGGCATACAGCTTATCCTAGTGCCTACAGTAGCATTTGTTTTATTTCCCCTTGTGTCATTGTGCATATTCAGTGTGTTTCCTAACACAGCTGCTCTCCTTCACATAATTGACTTTTTGCAACTGAAAAAAAAAAACATTGTGAATAAAAAGCATCCATACAGGCTGTTTCTGTAAGTGCAGTTGCTTTAAATTAGCAACATGAGAACTAGAAGGGTAGAAACACAGCCATCTCTCACCTTTCAGATTAGATTGGACTCACTGAGCTTTGTTCCTTCCCAACACTGACACTAACAAATATGAGAAAACATTGGGAAAAGGGATCAGAATCACTGCACTTTTCTTGATAACTGTGCAAAAAGCAGAACAAATTCTTTATTACTTTTTTTTTTATTTCATACTTTATTGTATGTCTTCTACCATGTCTGTTGGTTGTGCTGTTCTTTTTGCATCTCTTTGCAGGTGATGAAGCAGACTGAAAATGTTTTATCATTATCTCCCTTTTATCTCCTCTTTTTTCATCTTTTCTCCTTTTTTTCTGTTTGCTCTTCTGTTCTATTTACATTGCAGTGTCCATATAATCTGTAAAACTCCCTGCATAATTATAATAAAGCAATTTATATGCATGAAACAAGCGGAACACTATGGCTCCACTTGTGAAAGTAAAATCTGTTGTGCTCTTATTGGCATCAAGACAATTATTCTTATTGCCACATTGCCAAGACAGGACACTGTAAAAAAAAAAAGAACTGAACAAATTCAGGTCATATTTTTACAATTTTGCCAAGTAGGCCAACCCACCAGAATGTTCCCCAGCTATAATGTCAATTCTGTTTTAGATGACAGAATATTTTTATCATTTAAATTAAAGTTAGAGTTGTGCATCCTTTTAATTTGAACAGTTTTTTTATTGTAATTCTTTGTTTTGATTCCGATTCCTGTTGATCCTCGATTCTGATTCTTTTAAAAAGAATCATAAACGTAATATGTTATAATTTTGCTGGCTAAACAAGTTCTGTCAGGATTAAACAGTTTGAAATTCTAAAATTAATTTTATTCCTTAAACATCTAACTTTGTGTGAATTTGACCATAAGTGAACTCTGATATAAATGTTATGAACAAATTTTATCAAACACATTTTAATGATTTTAACTTTTTATTTTATTTTACTATTAGCTACGTGTATTTGGATTTTTATTTAATTATTTTGAGGTCCAATCAACACAACTTCACTAAAGTTAGGTTGCCATGGCAACAACAAGCAAGCTAGTGTTCACAGAAGAGGTATCCTGTACGTGGCAGCAAACTAATAAATTTACATAGCCGTA